GTAGCGCATTGCATCTTTTAGCTCGGTGGACTATCAACTGGTCTGTTAAATATATCAAACGACCACATGCATTCTTATGAACTCTGCAGTGGAATTAGTGCCCTGCAAATGTGCATAAATCACGAAGCTGAGGTTTAGTGTTTGTGCTCTTCCTCAAGAAATTAAACCCATGTTACTCTGTGCAGAGGGTTCAGTTAAGTTTTTTTTTGTTTTTTTTTAAAGGTCTGGAAAAAGCGGCTGTGTTTCAGGGCTACACATGAGTTTAATCAATGACTGAAATAACCACAGCGTCTTGAGCCCTGCTCACCGAGAGCCCTGCTCACTCAGCCCTTGTCTTTATCAGCCTGTTGTGTTTCTTATTAGTGTGACTGTTCGTAGCTTGCGTGGGAAGGCATGGGTCCAGCTTCGTTTATCGGACTCAACCTTGCCATGAATGTATATGCAAACTCGACATCACCGCAAATCCAAAGTTGGCACTGCCTTTTGCAGAACGAAGAAGAGATTGGCAGGGAGAGCAAATGTGTCCCGTCCACATTACTTAGAACATTTGATTCAAATCAAGAAAATTTGCCGGATTTTTTGGGAGACAAATAACACGGCGGCATCTAAAATGAAAACATATTTATGCTCTCCCCCTCTAACTTCGTGGTAGCTGGTGATATGTAACATTATTCTTTTGCGACATGCATGCCAGCCTGCTTGCCTGTGGGTCCGCTGCTTTCCTAGAGAGGGCCTCGCTTGCTTCATCCACACACTTGGCAGACGAGGTGCCAAGGGCTGTGACTCTGCCCGGCAGAGGAATGCGTCGACCCCGTGCCTGGTTAACTTCTTCACCCACGCGCTGTTGCGTTGGTCGTGCAGCCTCTGACATTGACGCTCTTGAGCTGCTCAAGCACAAAGCACATAAGGCTTTGTCTGTTCTGTAGGCATCCCTCTCAGTCTTTGGGTCCCTTTATGGAAATGTTTGGCTGCGGGACCACCTCTTTGTGTGCGCATGTTGTCTCTAAGCACAGAGGGCAGCTGTAAAGCAAAGTCAAGTGGCACATTCATGCTTCCGGCTTCCAAAGAGAGGATGGAAGGGATGGCGAGATGATTTCTGCTCATTCCCGGCAGCATGTGGGAGGCTGAGAGGAGAAGAAAAGCTGTACTCCACTCAGCTTTTGGACCTATTAGCATTTGGATAAGCTCTAAAAGCTCCCAGTGGCCGAGCCACACAGAGAGCAGTAGGACCTAAGCGCCTGTACTGCTGTGGTTCTAAGCTGGGTCCTGTCAATGGGCCCATTGTGTAGCCATGGCTGCTGCGATGCCTCGTGGCCTCCATCTCACTTGTCACCAGCCAGCTTAAAAGTATCAAACTCCATTTCCTTGCCGCCCCTAACTAAAGCATCCAACTTGTCGTTTGGCAAATCGATTGTTGATAAGAATGCCTTTGTTGCCTCGTCTGCTGGCTGTGAGGATGACTCACTGAAGTGAGTTGCGTCAGTAGCCTGATGCCAAGGCCAACAACTCATTCTTCGTTATCTGCAAAGGATGCCATTTGATGTGGTTGAACCCCATTGTCATTTTATTGTGTATTGGTCACGCTGTCGCACCATTCCAGCACTTCCCCTGCTTTTAGCTCTTTATCATTTTCCTGATCAAATCTCCACTGATTGGCTCACTCTCCTCTGTAGCAATGAACTGATGCGAGTGTTTTTGACTGGCCAGTCAGCCTGGACTGTTAGAAATGAACCTCTGACTTTTCCTTTTTTTTTTCCCCCTCCTCTTTCCTTTCCATTAGTTTTAGTGTGCTGATGGATGCCCTTTTTTTGGCATTCCATCCCAGCTCCGTTCTTATCGCTGGAAGAAATGTCATTTTGCACTTCGCTGTTTTCGAGGAGAAGACAGCCCTTCGCAGTGAAAATATGAACCATCGTAGCTAATATCCCTCTAATAAAAAGCGTGATTGTCTGTGGCCGCACTACCAACCGGCTCTCCACAGAGAGAGAGAGAGAGAGAGAGAGAGAGAGAGAGAGAGAGTCCCTGGCTCCTGTTGGTCTGCGTCTGCGTACCGCTAATAAACATCACTAAGCCTACTGGAAATGTGGGAAAACAGACTTCTCTCAGTCTGTACCCGGGTTAGCACAGTTCATGGGAAAACGGGACCGAATACACAATGTACATGAGCTCATGACTCATATTATCATGCCGAACCATTGAATTTCCCATCCTTGCAGTCCAGTTGTCTGCAGGGAAGTATAGCTTTTGATAGGAACACCTGTATGTGCAGCTAACACCGCACCGTCTTCCCAGCAGACACCAGGTGAGCGGGGTTCATCTATTTGCCAACATGCTGCTAAGTTGACCTTTTGGCTCTGGCACAAAGTTTTAATGGGAGAAGCACTGAGAAGACTTTGTCCTCTAGAGCCCAGCTGTGTGTCCTCAAGTGTTCACAGCACTTATTATATCTCTGTCTCTGCATCTGTGTTTTATGGATAATTAAGACGGCATGTCTTTAAGTGGGTCAACAAAGTTTTGATTGTTTGCCCTGACAACACATTCAAGTGGTTCTGTGTCTGTTTCACTCCAGGAATGTTCCTTACTTAACTTGGACATTCTCCTCCACTTGTGCATCTTTGCCAAACTTGCACATTTGGTTCGAGAAGTCCTGCAACCACAAGGTCACAATTTTGTGCCCTGCAACAGCTGATGAGTCCATCACCAGCCATCTGTCCTGTCAGAATGTCCTTGAACACCAAGGTGGACCCCTACCTGCCCGTTTGCATGAGCTGGCTGGATTGTAAAACCAAAAAAAAGTCAAAAGTGGCTCTGAATGAACTTGTGCGCCGTCCACCCATCACTCAACTATGAGACTTTTACCGCCTTGGAATTCCTCCAGGCTGATGGAGCCATTTCCACCAGTGCGCTAACTGGATTATCATCGCTGTGAGTTTGAATATTCGCTAACAATGTGTTGTGTTGAGCCCTCGCCAGATGCTGACCTCTCCCTGACTTTGCGAGAGTGCTGCCGCAATGGACGTGATCATTGAATAAAGTCACACTTAGGCCAGCCTGTTTTAACTGGCTAAACCAGAGGAGACTCTGCTAAAAAAATACATTTCAGACTGTATTCTAGCCAGTGCCTAACTAGCAAACAGAATGGTTGACGTATGGGAAGGAGATTGAATTAAAAACTGATAAACTGATCACTTTTGCTGTTCCGCATGATCCTTTGAACCTGAAAATTAGTTTCATTATGGAAATTTACAGTATGGATAACAACATTATTACCTTCATATAAATGTTGAAAATGTTTTTAGAAAAGGGAGGAATACGTCCCCCTCAGTTTCATAAAGACCACGATTCATCCCCTCCACTTTGGCCATGTAAGGTGAGAAAGATTTCATTTGAACAGATGACTAATTTTCCTCTTCCAATGGGACGGACTTGGAGCCTGCGTAGTGTATGTATTGCTACAACTACTGATGCATTTAAGTTCGACAAAAAAGTGTCGGCATTTTTACCTCTCAGTCAAAATTTTAATCAACCTACTTCCTGATGTCAAGTCTCCAACTTGGCAAGGCAGCCGAATCTTACAAGCCAGATATTGAATTGATGCTAACTGCTATTGAATTGATGCTAACTGCTAATCTTGTCAACACTATAGTTACCGTAATGTGCACTATAAGGCGCACCTAGAAGCGTTCAATTTTCTCAAAAGCCGACAGTGCGCCTTACAATCCGATGTGCTTTATATATGGAGCAATATTCCGATTTCTTGGACGTAGTATTTGACATGTTCTGTAAAGCGCATGGTGACAGCTGCAGTGGTTGTAAAAACTCTATATAAATAAAGTCTGGCCATGGTCCTGTCTTGTGGTATGTATATGACAATGTTTTCAGATATTTTTGCAGGTCTGGGAATAGTTTTGACAGTGTTGTATCAGTTAATGTTCTTGTTTTGATGTCTGAACCTACTCGATACGGGTCAGTTGCAGGGATAGAATTGTGTCCACTGAAGTCCCAAGTGAGAGATGAAAGCAGAGATTAGGAAAATGCCTGTTCCCTGCTGGAGTCTCCACATGGATCTGATAAGAGCGTCACATTGTGTTGATGAACGGTTGCTGTCACAAGTCGTTCGGAAGTTCATATTTTCATGTCTGAAAGATCAAATTACCGACTACTGACTTTTCGGTGTTGACTTGCGTCGTGGCTTCGGCATGCTCTACAAAAGTTGTGTGAAAATGTTAATTCCCACTTCACTCAGTATTCTCAGATGTTGTTGCCAATTGAAGAAAAAAAAATGTCACATGAATTCCTTTCGTGTGAACTTCTTAACAGAAAACTTGCCCCTGCGTTATAAACAAGAGCTGAACTGTGACAGAGTAATGTAACCATCCCAGAACATAGTGTTTACGACGGGCTTGTGATAACAAACATCATGTTAACTGCAGCGCTGCAGCATGACGCGCTTCCGTCTGCCGCTTGCTAAATTGCCCTGATTGTCATCTTCTCAGGTTTCCTCCTCTGCTCAGAGATGATAACGTCCCTCACTCTATCTGTCCTTGAACATGCACCTCCCTCTGCTATCTTGTCTTCTCTAAATCTGGTTATCTCGCCCCTCTGATGAGGACGATGATGATGACCGTTACATACAGTATCTCTTCCATCTTAACTGTGCTGCTTGCTATTTCCTCTTATTTTCAACCAGACTATGGTCTGTCCCATATACTGTATTGTGTATTCAGTATTGAGACATTCTTCACCTCGTAATTCCTCCCGTGTTTTAATTCTTCAACTAAACAAGACATTTTGTCCAGTTTCAATTCAAAATTTGTACTTCGCGAGAATAGTTTGGGGTTTGGCATTTTTCTGTTCCAGCATGGAAACAATGCCCATAAAGGCATGCTTGGATGAGTTGGGTGTAAAACATGAAAACCTGACCATATAGTCGTTAATTAATAACCAACACGTTTGTCTGTATCGTGTAGTTTTTCAACATGTGCACTTTTCCTCTGAAGGCTGTCCAAGAGTATTCCCACCACCAAGGATGTGGAGCCATTGCTGGAGATCGACGGCGACATCCGCAGCTTTGAGGTGTTCCTCTCTTCCCGAACACCTGTCCTCACTGCAAGAGATGTGGAGATGTTCCTTCCCTGCACTGTAAACCTGGACCCCAAACTCCGAGAAATTATAGCAGGTATGAACACATTTCAGCACATGATTACTGTATATATCCATTAGGGCGGCGAAGGGAAGTGTCTTAGCTGATTTCAAACATTTAGTTACTTTCTGAATTGGCAATTTGGTATAAGCCTTTATTAGTTCTGCAATTGGCAGCCTGGTGCCCTGGTGGTTACAGTCTTTTTCCTATTTTGAATTCCAATTCCCCCAAAAATCCCAAAATCAATATTTAAAAATTTTTTTTTTTAATCTTAAAACATAATTTTGTGTGTGTGTGTGTGTGTGTGTGTGTGTGTGTGTGTGTGTGTGTGTGTGTGTGTGTTTTTCCCCTTCACGTTTGTCAACATTGTAATATTGACAATGATGAAGCCCAAACATGCAGTGGTTATGGAGACTTGGCCACACCAAATTTGCGCGTTCAAACGGCATAATACTATTGCAACTGTATAAAGATAGGAGCCAAAGTGGCACCGCACATTTCATGCCATGCGTCAGTGTACGTTCGGCTCATTTCAGTGGCAATGACGCCTAGTGTGAAGTTGCTGCGTCATAGTGTGAGGAGACCACAGGGAAACACACACACACACACACACACACACAAAGTCTGTCCTAATGAAGCAATGCTGAGTCACACATTGGACCAAACTAAGGGATCTCGTAAAAATAGCCAAGTGAGACTATTAGTGGAGGTTTTCACCTCTATGTTTCCCTATGAAGAGGAAGGTCATGTCATCTCGCTCACTCCTTTCAATCTGTGCGCATCCGCTACTTGGTGCCCAGTGTCCTGTGGCCAGCCAGTGGGCAGCACCGTCAGTGATACCCGCCCATGGGCCTGACTCACTTCATAAGGCCCCCATTGTGTTCACAGGCTGCTTTGGGTCTCACTCAGTGTGTCATTCAGCCACCACTTGTATAACCAGGAGACATTCTGGTGCCTTCTGTTTCTGGCTTCGACTTTCTTGCCAGCAACACAGAGCCACTCTGTTCCTGTTGCTGGCCTTGTTTAACTTCACTTTGGGAGGTTCCCCCAATTCTCTTGCTCAGCATCGACTCAGATTGATTGGGGAGAACAATTGCCGCACAGTTCTGTTGTGCATATGAGTTCCCATGGTCTTTTATTTGTGTTGTGCATTTGTTTGTCTCGGGCTCCTTTTGCCAAAATTATCACGTGACTCTCATATCGCTCTCGTGAAAAAAACAGAATGTCAACAAGGCTGCTTCCTTGTAAGCAAATTGAGTTGTAAAAATCAAAGTGTGAATAGAATTCACTGTGGAAGATTGTTGTCGTTGCAACATCTGCAACATTTCACTCACTCGCTTACATGTCTTTTCACATAAAAACAGTTCCCTCTTCCCCCCAAATTGATTCCCTCTATTCATTTACTTGTCACAGATGATGAAATAATGCAAAATTTTTGATGCGTGGGTAGCATCTGAAGGCCCTTTATAGTCATCGCCAGAGATATGATCATGGGCGTCACACACAAACAATTCCCTCTCTTTTCCTCTCTTCCCGTGATTCTCTCCTTTCTTTAGATGTGCGTGCAGCCAGGGAGCAGATGCATGTGGGAGGGGTTACGTATCCCACAATGCCTTTGCAGGAGGCGGTGGTGCCCCGTCCACAGCCGGGATATGGCCAGCACACTGCCACGTGCTCGCCGTCGGGCTCTTTCGCCGGCTCCTTGCTGCCTCAGCCTCACAGTGCCTACTTCAGTGGCATGACTGGTCCTCAGCACCCCTTCTACAACCGGGTAAGACAAGATAGAGGATGCTGGCACCCAGGTCCATAAGGTCCTTCCAAAGCGATGTAGAGCTCATGAAAAAAAAGGCTCATCCGTGGCTTACATGTGCTCACAACCAGGCGCAACACATGCCTAGATTTTGTTTTATACTTCATATTCCATCCATTACGACATTTTATTGGCAGCCACAATGAAAATGACCAAGTTTGCTTCTTTTCTCTACAGCAGGAATGGGCAACTGCTGGGCCTGCGACCATACTCTGAGTGCCCCCTTGATTAATTTCCTCACCCCCCACCCCCCAAATTAAAAAAAAAAAAAAAATCAACCCCAAAATAATCATGGCTCACTTGAAGATTTTTTTTCCAATATTTGTGATTTATTTTCAATAATTTGGGGGATTTGGGGGGCATAAACCCCCAATATTTTGTGGCAAATGTATACAGGTTTATTAGTTTTTTTTTTATAGACTGTTTTTGTGTGTGTGTGTGTGTGTGTGTGTGTGTGTGTGTGTGTGTGTGCGTGTGTGTGTGTGTGTGGGTGTGTATATACACACCCACACACACACACAGTGTTCAGTTGTTTTCTTCAAACCTTTGTTGTTGAATAGTGTTGTGTACATGCATTGGGAAATATATTAGGAAAAAAATGAAAAATATTTGGTACACATATTTTGCACATGCGGTGTGCAATTATTTGCTCCATCTCTAGATTGTGTGGTCCTGTGTAACCCTCCCTAGTAGCACTGATTAAAAAAAAAAAAAATCGTGGCCCCCACCATTTTTTAAGTTGCCCATCCCTGCTCTGTATCATTTATTTTTGTTTGTGTGCCTTAGCTCCCTCCTATGATTTTCATTTGACCTCCTCTCCTCCTGCCTCCCTAGCCTTATTTCCCCCAACATGTGTATCACCTGCCAAGGCATTACCCCCATCATGCCCCCTCAACCATGCACCCTTCCATTAAGCATCCTCTTCACACCAAGGACATCACTGGTGGACTTGTAAGTACACACTTGAAAAGCAGACCTCTACTCTCCTAATGTTAATTGTGTAAGATTTTGTCAGTTTGTTTGTGAGAGGACGATGAATCAGTCATTACTGCTGTCGAACCCCCCAATAAAACACCTAAATTGGTGCAACGAATTCACTGCCATCACTATTTGATGGTTTCTATGTACATTTCATACAGCAATTAACAGACCAGGATGGGCTGAAAGATTGTTCCCGACCATATTACCTTTTTTTTTTCCACTACACCGTACTGGTTCAGCATTTTTGGTTCTATTTTCCACTTCAAAAATAGTACGGCAGGGAATCAAAAACCACACTGAATGCATCCAATGGCACCAGACACACGAACAAACAACATACTATAAATTGAGGCCCACAACGGTCTCTTGGATAACTTTTCACCCTGTGGCTGCTGTTCACGGTTGGTCGACGCATTTCATTGAAGAGGAGACTGAGTGCAGTGAGAAAATGCACCACAGCAGCAAAATGGAGACTGTGGAGTATAATAATGCCACTGCCAAAGGTGAAACAAAGCAAGCTGGTATGTGAGGATGTGACAATGGCACCTTTGCTTGACCAGTGAGCGGAGATTTGTGTGTCACAGATAGGATAACTTGACATGCTTGGAACATAGTTTTGCCAATGGAAATGTGTGAAAGACAAGTTGAGCCATGGCAAACCTGAGTAGGTACCGTGCAGTGGAAAATGAGTTTGTGAATATTGTAGTCCAATGATTTTTGTGTGTCTTTCACCTGCTCATCCCTCCATCCTGTCCCCTTAATTCTGCCATCGTCTCCTCAGTGTAACGGTCTCACATTTTCCCCCTCTCAATAAACTTGCAAGTCCTCGAAGGTTATTTCAAGAAGAAATGGCCATCAAGTCCATTAGACCCGATCCTCTGCACAACCCTTGTTTGTATTCTGTGCCCATGTCAGGAAGTTATAGCAGAGGATGCAAGAGAAGGCCTCCACTCCTGTCCCTCTGACCCCTCCATGGTAACCGAATAAACCACAAAGCATACCCCGGTTTTGCAAAAAATGTAGCTTGTTATTACTAATAATTTGCTCGCTGATGAACTTGCAAAACCTCAAGCATGCTGAACATTGCATGCCTTGTTAGTCTCCGAAACATGCTCTTTCGGTGCATGTTGAAAAGTTATTCAACTCCTCGTTCCCATACCCCAATCGTTTGTGCCTGGGACCTTTAACACAGAGGAACCATTCAATCCAACGTGTCATAGGGACACGTGAGACACTCCGATGTCCACACATTCAAAGAGAGCAAGCTTCTATTGGAGCAAATGAATGATAAGACTTTTCGTCGGCTCCACAAAGCCACTTATCAGCCTGGCACCAGCAAGCATTGAAAGGAGCTGCACTATATGGCAGATTTCAATATAGAGCACTGAGAATATTCCTTCTCTGTCTATCTTTTCCCTTCCACCTCCATCTATCTGCCTCTTGCGCCTTTGTCCTGTCTCTACCACTATATAAGTGCCCTCGGTTTCATCCTTAGTTACGGCTTTTCCGATGCGCATCAGCCCATCTTATCCCTTCCCGCAAATCTGCGAATGTTGAGATGCGCTTGCGCACGGCCTCGTTTATGTGTAATTCTTTGGATATGTAAGCGGGGCGAGCCCAGTATAATTGCCGAGCTTATAGAAGTGTGAATGTGGATTCCTCTGTCTACGGGGATTATCATCAGAGCAACTAGCAATACACACACACACACACACACACACACACACACACACACACACACACACACACACACACGGTGACAATGAGCCCAGCGCTGTTCGAGCTTATCTCCTTACCAAGACGCTTCCGCTCGTGCGGAGCTCTGTTTCCTCTTCCCCATCCTTCTTGCCCTGCCCTGAGCTCAGCCCAGCTGTAATTACAGTCTTATCACACACACCCCGGTTCACACAAACACGTAGACTTACACACTTGGACACACCCGCTGATATTTGTTTGTGTGTGTTTTTTTTTTCTTCGCTACGATTTACGAGACTAATAAAGGTTTTCTTATCTTATCTTATCTTATTTGACGGCCTTGCCCAAATCGAAACCTTTGCTTCTCTTCAACTGGGTTTCTCATGTGTCTTGGGCGTAAGATGTTCTGTCTGCAAATATTTTGAGCCCCAAAAGCTGTGAAAACCAAATCTACTTGTGTAATAATTCTACCTCCATTAGCCTCGTCTCTTCCAGTCTGGCAAGGATGGAATGGGGCTGCCGCCTGCCCGGTTCCAAAGTCCTTCCTGTGCTTTCATGTTGTGCCTTTCTGCCTTTCCCCGGCCCCCCCTCTTCATTTCTGCCTCTGCCTTCTTTCACCTCTTTCCACAGGTGCACCCCTTGGCCTCATGTCGTTGTACATGTGTATTTTTTGTCTGACCATATGTCCGTCTGCTATTTTTTGTCTCCTTGTCAAGCTTTTAAGGTCACTGCCTTACAAATCAAAGCAGGTATATCGATGGTTTCCATGCTTTTTTTTTTCAGTCTCTGCAGTGGGGTTGCAATGGTATGACAGTTGAACAGGATGAAAACTGTAAAAATAACAGTTCTTATTGGATTATTGCTGGGGGAAATTCAGGTTGCAAAGGGGCGGTCAAATTTTCAGTGGGAATTAAAGATTAATAATGGTACACAACTGGAAATATTGGTCATTTTTACAAACTACAAACAATTACTCTGGTCAACTGAACATTTTAATCACAGATGCCTTTGGTATCTGACACAGATTTTTTTTTCCTAGCACATCACGTTTTTGAGATGTTAATATTTTGTTTTTAAGTTTTATCTATAAAAGCTTGTGCCACACAAATTTTAAGATGTGTTGTCATTTATAACTTTGTCGCTTCAGAAAAAAAAAAGAATCCCATCTGTAGCTGAACCTGATGTGCTCGAGAAAAAAGTATGGGCGGATTGAGATTTTTCGAATAGATCTACTTTTGTGTCTCTCTATTTCTCTCTTTTTTAAGTCTCACCAGTGTTTTTACAAAGTTGCATCATGCACACGATGCGTGATATCCATCAGTGTTCATACAGACTGTGAAACCAGTATGCCGCTGCAACCCTAATCTGCATCCAAGCAGACATTCAACTAACACACGCTCTTATCAATATCGTGCATGGTGTACAATCAGATAATAGGCACGTCACGTAAAACACTCACTGTCCCCTAGTTGCACTAACAGTTTCGCACGAATAGCAGTAGTTGTCCTCCTGCCCGCCGCCGTACTACAGTCCATCGCCGCTGTCGAACACCACTCGCCATTTTAATAAGTGCCACACTCCTCTGTTCAGGAATCCGAAACAAAGCCTGGGTGGCCGTTAGGCATCAGAGTGATAAACACAGGTTGCAGAGCAAAGGAAAAGAGAGTACTGAGTCAATACAGGGGAGGATGAGTGAAAGGAATGATACGGAAAAGAAAGAACCGAGAGTTGTGCTTTTAAACTAGATAGCGGTAATGCGGTGTGGGGAAATGGAGGTGATCTTCGCTCATCAACAGGCCTCTGGTATTACTGATGTAGTAACTGCTCAACCAGCACCACTCAGACTCCCAGTCTCCGTCCCTTAAGTACGTTGCATACAATTTATGTGCTTGTACGGCATATGCACGCTAAAAAAGAACAAAGTGGTGTAGCTGTTTGGATTGGTTGGCAGCTTTGTTTGCTCTTACCCTTAATTTGTGTGACTGACTGAGGGAGTTACTGTGTGGAATCCTGACCACAGGCCGGCGAATTTCTCCCCTCCACAGAGACCTGATTTTTCCCTCATGCACTAAGAGTGCACTAACATGCCGGGCCGGGTCCGCCCCAGTAAGCAGGACTCGTGCAGACGCCATGAATGTGTCCTTCTCATTATGACTGCATGTTTTGGTAGGCCTCCCCAGCTGTCCTGCTCAGCTCAATGAGCACAGATGCAGTGTGCGAGTTCCTCAAACAGATCGATGGAATCGACGCCAGCATGCTGCGTCAGTACACTGCCACCGTTAAGAAGGTGCGCCTGGCAATACCATTCTCAACTTTACATGTGGAGTCTTTATTTGATGCATTTCATGGTTCTCATTTTTCAATCTGGGTGTTTAAAACTAATCCCATCATTCATTTGATTGTCCTTAAACATTGTAGGCTAATATAAACGGACGCGTCCTGGCACAGTGCAACCTGGATGAGCTGAAGAAAGAGATGGATATGAACTTTGGTGACTGGCAGCTCTTCAGGGGAATGGTGAGGCCTTATTTTTCACTAATGCCCAGTTTCGCATATCATATTGGTGACACCTGCATTCGGTTGGGAAGAACTATTTCTGAACAAATATTTAATGTTATCTGTGGTGTACAAAATAGTATGAATAGGGAAACCATTCATGAGTTCATAATACGATATTAGTACAACATATTAGTATTTATATGTTGATTGAGAGAGCAAGATGCAAAAAATACAAAAAATGCCTCATCCTCAATCACTTTATTGAGAGGGAAAAACTTTTCAATTGGATTATTTTTCAGACTCGTTCAAGCCCTATTCCTCAGCCATTTCACCAAACCATTACCGATGTTTGCAATCCATCAATTTTCTATAGTGCTCGTTCTCATTAGGGTCATGGGTGAGCTGGTGCCTATCTCAGCTGCCTTTGGGCAAGAGTTAAGATGTACCCGGGACTGATTGTCACCCAGTCGCAGTTAGCGATAGAGTATCCTCTCATATTTCCTCCCAAAAGAGATTGGACGCATTTTGTAATATTACATCCTGTGCTAAAATAAAATATTGGAATTGAGATTTCATAACCCGCCTTACGAGAAACCTTGAATTACTAACACGTGTTGCAGCCTCCTAATAAGTCGTGTTTTTAGCAAACATCTGATGCTCAGCTCACATCGGAGCAGCTGGAAAGTGCTGCGTCTGTACGGCCTCGTGCACTAAACCAGTGTTGCGTTGCCAGGACGCAGCCAGCTCAGCCATCTGGTCGATGATGGCCAACTGATATCTGGATGAAGGGAGGTCATTGTCAGGGATGAGTGGACAGCGAGTGGCTCCTCATAAGGAGCAGCTCAAAGTTTCCCGTCTTGCTTGCATGTTATTTCCTGTTGCCTTGTTACATGTTTGTTTGTATGTCACAGTGATCTCACTAGGGAGTCTGTGTTGAGTTAACAAACTCTTCTTCCCAAGGTGATGGAACAACGGCATGCCGAAAGCCAAGCTCTGCTTGAGGAGGAGTCGCGAGCTCCAAGTGAGCAGGGCAACAGCGTGTACAGCGCAGAGCCTGGCAGGCGCTTGTCGGGGGCCCAGCGGGAGGGAGGGACCTTCAGCCTCAGTCTGAGCTTCGAGGAGCTCAGTGGAGCAGGACTAGAAGAGCCCCCGAGACACGGCAGCAGCTCGCAGTGGCCGGTCAGTCCTCTCTCTGGCAGCTGCTTATGTGCAAACACCACAAGATATGATCAGGTGCAGGGTGTGCATTTTGTAACAGATTTTTTCCAGTGTAAGCATATTTAAATGGGACATTCACGGTCGTACTCTCAAAATCTGTCACAAAGCCACAAAGTCCTCTTCGTGTTGGCCGCATGTACCTTATTATGTAGTATAGAGCGAGAAAAGAGCACACCAGAGGAAGTCAGTGCTGTTCCTGAGTGTATCAGCAGACTGAAAAAAAGCACACAAGGGGCCCCATGGTTAATATTTTCACCTTCAGGCTGGATTTGCAAAATCTCTGATACATCAGCAAACCCTCGTTTAACTATAGGCAAAACCCAACACTGAAATGTCCATTACATTCATCGTCACTCTTGTTTGCTGTATTTCCCATTTTCATATTTTGGGTATTTAATTCATTAGTTGTGTTAATATCCACTGATACGACATGATGATGTGAATACCAACCTGCACAATGAAATGAGTTACATACCACACAGTAATTCCCAATGACAGTAAAGTTTTTTTTGTTTGTTTATTTGTTTGTTTTATGTGTGGTGTTAATTTGCATTGATGTACAGTGCTGCATCATACTTGTAGCAGATGCTAACAAAAACTAAACAGTTTAATGTAGTCCTTCAACCACTGTAAATTACAGCCACGATAATAAACATACTGTTGATTTAACACTAGATTTTTTTTCCATACAGCTATTTAATTGTTTCAAATTCCACTGTGTAGATGGTACATAATGTGCCCTTTTTTTCATTGTCTTGTTGCCAGGTGGCGAATCTCCGCACCACAAGCATGTCCAGCCTCAACTCGCAAGAATCGTCCAATAACATCTGCAGGTTGACGGACAGGCAGCAGGCAGAGTACCGCGACGCCTACCAGGAGTACATTGCTCAGATGGCCCAGCTGGACGTGTCGGGCGGCGCGAAGGAGAGGCCTGTGCAGCCCCAGCCGTTGACCTTCCTCCAGGCAGCCGGCTCGGACGACAAAGGGGTTGGTGGAGAGTCATAAGCACACTGCAACAGTTAGCTTGTTACAAGAAAGTTGAGTTATTATATATTAAGAAGTGCAGATTTGTACATATGTGCAGTAGATAATCGACATGTAAATTCAAATGTACACCCAAGGAGATTGCATTTCAGACTTCTAATGGGATGAATGGCCGTCAACAGCATGAGATGTCTGTGTGGACTTATATACCATAGTGGGAACGGAGAGATCATTGCTACTTACTTAACTGCTAACTTTGCGTGCTTTGGCACCAAATGCTGAAAAAAATTCGCTCTCCAGAGACCGCCCATCCAATCAGTATGCTTCTGTATATTTTCATGTTCTCACTGAATTCTTTTCCCACTTGCCAGGCTAAGGAAGGAGCGGACCAAGATGGCCGCAAGTCCTTCGTCAAGAGAGTCTCCAAGGCGTCTGACACCACAGACGTTCCCCCGGGGTCTGATGCCCAACTCCTCGATCCCATCAGCGAGGAGGATGAAAAGCTGGACCACAGCACGAGCTCCAGAAACAACACGGCCGAGTCGCGCGTCCGCAAGCTGTCCAGCGACGATGACTCAAGCCCGGAGGAGGCCGACAACACCACGCCGCTCCTCCAAAAAGAAGCGAAAGCCAAGTCCTCACATTTCCTCACCAAAGGTATTTTGGATCCCAAGGAGTCCACCGAGAGCTGCCCGGAGGAGGCAGCAGGAGAACCTGGTTTGGCGAAGGCAGCGGCATGGTCAGGTGTTATGGAGCTGGAGCTGGAGGGTGTGGTGAAGAAGCGAGGTTTCCTCCCCAGCAGCCTGAGCTGCCTGCAGGATGCCACGGTGGCCCGTATGTCCATCTGCTCCGAGGCGGCCTCTGAGGCCAGCCTGATGGCGAGCAGCCCGGACGAAGGGTGGCCTCCCGGCGGGATCAGCAACCTCAACCGCAGCGAGAGCAACACCACGCTCAACAACAACACCAGCGACGCCAACTCCAACACCAACAACAGCAGCCGCCAACAACAACAGTTCGCCACCTCCCCCACCAGCGTCTCGCCTGCTGTCATCATCTCACCGGGCAGCGGCAACGCCACCGTCACCACCGCCACCGTCCACCACAACCAGAACCTGCGCTCCATCAACCTGGGAGATGAAAGGGAGAGCGCCCTTTGAGATTGTTTCTTATCCTAATTCAGTAATCAGTGTTGTCTCGTAAGGCTCGGAATAGCGTTTTTTCTTTGAGGAGCAGTTTTGCTCCTCAAATTTGAATTCACTTGAGGAGCAACTTTCTAATTTTGAGGAGTAGGTCAAAGGGTTATATGAAACCACAAAAATGTCACAATATAAAAATAGAAACAGTTGGTGTCAGTTTATAATCAAGAAGTTTTTATTTCCTTCACATACATTGTCAAGAGCAGTAAACTATATTTTCATGCCCGGAAACATTTCCACTGGGGCAATTTCAAAGACAAATATGAATATCATTTTAAACTTAGTATTTTTAAATTGGTTGTATTGTCCTTTAGCGAAGCTAAATTGTTTTTTTTTTTTAAATAAATAAGATGTAATGTAATTTTGAGAACATTTAATGTGCAGATCTCAAAAGTCAAAACTCAGTACTCAATACTTTTAATTTTGGAAGCCGCTCCTCCCGGCTGATGTACACATAACAATTTCCAGTTTCAGTCCTATTCAGCTGTGTAGCATAGTTTATCATTTTCTCTAGAGACACTTATCAAATTGTCTGTCTCTTGCTGTTCAAAGATGTATTCTCTCCTCGTTTAACGCGGTTCCAGCCAGACGTTGGTGAAGTTTTCTCAATCACCCAAGCACTGAATTCCAGTGTTTCACGATTACGTGTCAATGTTAGGTTAGCATAGCAATTAGCATGGCTTCTCCATCTGTCGTCGTCATCCCTTGATGAAAACAAGACTTGCCAAAGCGTAGCTTGATGATTACTAACTTAGGAGCGACATTGCAACATGTTTAGCGCACTAGCTAATCAACGAAAGCTTGCTGCTCGCTAACTAGTGTGGCGTATGTAGCACCAAGCTTGCCACTGACCTCTTTCCCAGTGATAAGTGACATAAGCGTGCTGCGGCACGTTAATGTGTGTTCGTCTGGCCAAGCACAATTTTTTGGGACCGTCTCACATCTACGCGAAAAACTTTGTGATCCTCAGTTTTGCAAGTCAGTGTGTTGTAATGGATACAAAGTGTGAATTTTAACTTGCAAACTGCGATGTGAAACCACTTATTTTAAGCCTGTAATGTATGTAATAGAATTTAGTCTGTTAGGATGGAACTGTAGATGCTGTTTCTTGTTCATGATAATATTGTACTTTTAAAACTAAGGCGTCAAACTCGTTTTCAACACATACCACATCATAGGGAGAGGCAGTTTGAATTCTACTGGAAGTTCTAATTGTACCCTGCTATAAAAAAACAAAACTGAAATATGACAGGCTATGACATCGGTGAACCAGAAGCTGAGCTGCATTGTGTTTGTTTATGGACTCAGTGTGTGGCTACAGCATTATCATATTACCTAATTGTGCCTGCATTTGGCCTGTTGTGAAAAATTTGGGGATGCTTTCGTGGGGCACATAATTGTTTGTGATGGGTTGAATCTGGCATCTGGGCCATGAGTTTGACACCTGAGTTTTAAAATGTCATTGAAAAAAAGTCTAAATTTAGAATGGATAATTGTGCAGTTGTTGTGACATTGTGACACTTGTAAAATAGAGCTGGTTTGTGTGGTGACGGAATGCTACATGTCAAAGAGTGTTGTTTGCTGTTATCAATATTTACTCTGGTTATGTGGAGTAGTGGACGATTCTTCTGTCAAAGATATTTGGATATCTTTGAGGGTTCTGATATGATTCTGTCTCCTGAACTTTGTCAAATTGTTTCACTATTTAAATCAATACACTTTTAATGGATGTTCAAGCCATTGGAGTGACGCTTATCTTTCTTTTCAATGCAGGAGAATCTGATCTTTCATATTGACTGCGTAGAAAGGATGAGGGAACTCAAGAAGCACATGCCGTCGTTATATGGTGGTCCGATAGATGGCGCACTTTCCCTACAAACTACGTGTTATTTGCACAGATGCAGGCTGTCAAATTTCTCAGTGACCCCCTCCCACCTTCTAAACGGGGTACACACAGGGTTCTTTTGAGGACACTAATAAGGTACTTTGAAGAGTTTTTAAGCAGCGTATCCGTTTTTTATAACGTAAAAAGTTTCTACCTCTGTATCTTTGGTTTTTTTTTTTAAAACTTCTGGCCTTCCTGTTTGGGTTTCGCACGCACTCTGCGTGCTTGTGTGGGCTTTCTACCACATTCCAAAAACATGTTGAGTTCATTGAAGACTCTAAATTCTCCAAATGTATGAGTGTAAATGCTTGTTTGTCTATATGTGACCTGCGATTGACTGCCAACTAGTCCAGGGTGTAAAACACTTTTCGCCCCAAGTCAGCCGGGGTAGGCTCGGGCTCACTCGCCTAATGAAACGGAATATACAACAGCAATTGAAGGTACACTTGCATGTTAGCGTATCCAAATGGACAAATTTTCTGATTGACACTTTGTCATTTTCAGATTTGTGGGACAGCGCCTGTATTGGATTGTGGAAGTTCATGAGGTGAGCCATGTTCCTGACAAGTCCTAAAAAGTCAGCCGGTCTCCTCAAATTGGGGACTTCGCTATGTCAACAACAAAGCCTTCATGTGCTTCTTTTTACTCAATTTGTTTGCAACGGTCTCATTTGCCATTCAAAGTTACATTTCCATAATTGTGTACCCCTCCCCACCCCCAACATTATAACCAACAGCCCTTTTAGCTTTAATGTCTCAGCCTGTCACGCGAAACCATCTAATCCTATTTACTCTACATGGCACCCAAGGAAGTAAAAGTGCAGTCAGCGCGCCCTACATAAGCGTTTTATGCAACCGTGCGCCCTGAGGTGCTGCTTGCCTTGCTGAGAGTGACGCACTGCTTTTGCACCATTCTGGGTCATATCGCTGTGCTTTGATCGGGACGTTCTGTTTTTTTTTTTTTTTTTTTTTTTTATAAAGAGGAGCTTTCATAGTGGGCATGTCTCCAAAGTGCACCAAAAAGTTGTGGTGAGAAGTCACTTTCAGGCCATTACAGTCCTTCACAAGTCATAAACAAAAATATAATCGTATAAGTATATTAAATGAGCCTTTGTGGGTTAAATGTCTTGGGTTTTTCGAAACAGTTGCTCGTTTTTGGGATTACGGCGGTGGATCGCATCAGTTGCTTTGGTACACCGCGAAGGCCCCCACGCCGTGGGTTTCACGCATTCATTCTTACATCCATCACATCATTTCACCACTGCACAAAATGAAAGGATGCTCAGGTTGCTTTTGTGATTTAATTTTGTATAAAAAAAAGGTACAATTTACATTACTTTTATAAAAAGTTTCATCATAAGTACAACATTACACTTTTTGCAGAAACGCCTGCAACTATACATAAACTCCCGAGAAGAGTTCACAACGTGTCATTCTTTCAGTTTTCTTCTTTTAAAGAACGTCCAGTCCTTCATGTGCCCACAATCCTGACAAGACAAGACTAAACTTTTTTTTTTTTTTTTTACAGTATATAACCAAGTTCCCACCTCCGCAAAAAAAGCGAAGACTTCAACAAAGTAAGGGAGAATAAGAGGAGGAAGGATGGGGGAATTATAATCATCCTCATGACAATAATCTCTTTTTTTTTCCTCCCACAATTGGGAATATAACGTGCCTTCCATTTCCAGAAAGGACTTACAAATAATAATTAAAAAATTCTTAAGTTAAATAATAATAATGCGGGGGAAACAAGCACATCACATCATAAAGATTGTCCCATAAGCAAAGTCTCTCATGATGGAGGGAGGAAAAATAATCCAGCGGGCCTGGAGGAGGACAGAGGTGGTTGGATTTTTTTTTTTTGTTTTTTTACACCCCCCCTCCCAAGGAAAGGGAAGGAAGCCCTGTATGCTCCCCAGGTCCTGTGAGATTCTTTTTTTTTTCTTTTCTTAAACTTGTCTTGACCAAACACCTGCAAAAGATTGAGAGAAAAAGAAAAATAAAGAGGAGCTTTCATAGTGGGCATGTCTCCAAAGTGCACCAAAAAGTTGTGGTGAGAAGTCACTTTCAGGCCATTACAGTCCTTCACAAGTCATAAACAAAAATATAATCGTATAAGTATATTAAATGAGCCTTTGTGGGTTAAATGTCTTGGGTTTTTCGAAACAGTTGCTCGTTTTTGGGATTACGGCGGTGGATCGCATCAGTTGCTTTGGTACACCGCGAAGGCCCCCACGCCGTGGGTTTCACGCATTCATTCTTACATCCATCACATCATTTCACCACTGCACAAAATGAAAGGATGCTCAGGTTGCTTTTGTGATTTAATTTTGTATAAAAAAAAGGTACAATTTACATTACTTTTATAAAAAGTTTCATCATAAGTACAACATTACACTTTTTGCAGAAACGCCTGCAACTATACATAAACTCCCGAGAAGAGTTCACAACGTGTCATTCTTTCAGTTTTCTTCTTTTAAAGAACGTCCAGTCCTTCATGTGCCCACAATCCTGACAAGACAAGACTAAACTTTTTTTTTTTTTTTTTACAGTATATAACCAAGTTCCCACCTCCGCAAAAAAAGCGAAGACTTCAACAAAGTAAGGGAGAATAAGAGGAGGAAGGATGGGGGAATTATAATCATCCTCATGACAATAATCTCTTTTTTTTTCCTCCCACAATTGGGAATATAACGTGCCTTCCATTTCCAGAAAGGACTTACAAATAATAATTAAAAAATTCTTAAGTTAAATAATAATAATGCGGGGGAAACAAGCACATCACATCATAAAGATTGTCCCATAAGCAAAGTCTCTCATGATGGAGGGAGGAAAAATAATCCAGCGGGCCTGGAGGAGGACAGAGGTGGTTGGATTTTTTTTTTTTGTTTTTTTACACCCCCCCTCCCAAGGAAAGGGAAGGAAGCCCTGTATGCTCCCCAGGTCCTGTGAGATTCTTTTTTTTTTCTTTTCTTAAACTTGTCTTGACCAAACACCTGCAAAAGATTGAGAGAAAAAGAAAAAGAGAGAGAGGCGTGTTTAGAAAAAGGCAAACAGGGCAGAGAGAGATCCGGACAGACTGGCGCCAGGGAGGAAGCCGCACACTTTTTTAACATTTAACCAAACACTCCCAATACTAAGCAAACCCTGCACTCCAGATGTACACACACATACACAAGTTTAGCCTCCAATCTGGGGAAGAATCATCGTAATTGCCGCTCAGCTGGCGCCTACCCACTTCTTGTACCAATTATGTGCAGACATGGTAGTAGCGAGCAATCCAAAACAGCCATTATTTTCCTCTCTTTACAGATGCCCTTCATTATAGAAACGAGAGGCTATAATACGGCCCTGACAACTGCTACTTTATTAACCCCTGAGCAGCCTGACAAAGTGTATATAGTGCATCCGTTTGACTGCAGCAATGTTTTTAATGCATGAAAAGTAAGCATATGGTACGGTTGGGATCTTCGCGGACAGGATGCGCAAGCATATTGAGACGCGATCGGAACAAATGTTGCTGGTGATTGGGTTGCGGAGGGGAAAAAAAAGCCTTGTACTTGGCCGGCATGCGTGAGCAGACAGGAGTCCAGACTACTCACCGCCTTTAACGATGCAGAGTCCGGCTGTCATCTGTCGTCAGCTCGGATGGCAACTCGGGAGACTGCAAACAAATAAACAAAAACAGAGCGCACCAAATGTTATTTCCTCGCCGTGACAAGCATCATAATAGAAGCCGGCGAGGAGTGGCTCGTACCTGTAGCGAGAGGATGCTGATGTCCGTGTTGAGGGTGCTCAGCGGGGTCCGGGATGGAGCTGGAGGAGGAGCCCCCTGGCCCGGCCGCGCGGGGTGATGAAGGTTCGTCCCCAGAGCGACGTTGGAGTCGAGCGCGATCTGCAGGTCCAGGATGTAGTCGATGACGTGCTGCAGGATTTCCATCTTGCTGACGTTCTTGTTCTGCGGGATGCTGGGCACCAGCTCCTTGAGCTTAGAGTAGCAGTCGTTCATGTTGTACAGAAGGCTCAGCGGGTCGTCCACCGGGGTCTTGCTCCGCGACAGACCCAGCGAGTGGTCCGACAAAGCGGTGGTGTTTTTTCGGAAGGAACGAACGGGGCTTATTGCTTTCATTTTTTTTCTTCAAAGTTAAATTTGAGTATTACGCGAGTTTTTCTCGAGTGTTGCTTCTGTTAAGTCCAATATCGTCAGGCGGTCGTCGTTCGGACTGGATTAACAGAGAGGCAGTGTGCTTTATATAAGCGGCAGGTCGACAGCGAAAGGGAGGCAGAACCCACGCACCGATTGGCCAGAGTTGACATGTCACTCCAAAGACGCTCGTCATCCCATTGGCTGTCTGCTCAATACTCCTCCTCTCTTCCGCATCGTTGCCGGTGGCAACGCGAGTGGGGAGGCGGGGCCCCAGAGGGCAGCCTCGACAGCTCGGGTGGGCAATTTGGAAAATTAAGCTCTTACCTGTTTGTGATCAAGAGAATTAATGCAGCACAAGGCTCGCGATTGACTTTGACAAGGTGTGGCCAATAACTGCACAAAGACCTTTTTTTGTCCCCCCCCCCCCAGTTCTGACTGGCTTACCACCCTATAAAACAACAACAACAACTTTGGGGAAAAATTTGAGAAAATATCCAACGCGTTCGGCAAGTCAATGTGTGTTTTTATTAGCCTTCGTTTCAATATAGAATAGATATTTAGCATACCTCCTGTATGCTGTATTCACACATGTCCGTCAATAAAAGTGCACATGCGGTGAATTTCCGAACCCTCTCTCTGCCGTGCGTGTGTGTGCGCTTGACAGCGGGCATTTAGACATACCACTACTACTACTAATATAAATAAGAAAGCATATGAATATTTTTCTGTGTTTAGCCCCAAACGAGACCAGGCGCGTCTGATTAATCCACGCAAGTCCGGACCGGTGTGAACTTTCTGTGAAGGAAAAGGCAAGATCCAACAGAACGGTCAGGCCCACCACAACCTTTTATTATTAGTCGTCGTATGTTTTTCACCAGATTAAATTTCGTGCTAGTACATGTAAATATTATGCTATTTACAAACGCTTTCCATTGGTTTGCACAGAAAATACGACAGCGCGCATCCACGCGACGACCACTTTATTAGGTACACCTACACCATCCAGTGAGTTTTAACACAAGAGCGGCTCACAACTTATGCGGTTTACACATTAGTTAAACCATCACTATATATACAATTTTTTAACCATACTCCATTACCAATATACTCTCAGCATAATGGACTGCGGTTGTACAGTAATGCAAATTATCTCCACAACAATAAAAAATACCGTTAAATGAATACTTCCTGATAATGTCAATCAAAACTCAGCGTTATTATCTTTCTAAAGGTGTGCGTTACCTTTACCTTTAAATTTAACGTGCTTCAACAAATAATTACAACATAACAATTTAAGTAAAAAGAGGCAGGAAACTTTACATCGCTGCAAGTAATCTTTATGACGCGCATACATCCACTAATCAGAACAAATTCAGTGTTATAAATACTGTAAGGGTGGTTACTCGTTTGGGGGATGTCGCTCCTACCGCGGCGACGGAACCTGAGCGTGTGTGTATAGTTCGCAAGTCCGGAACGCGCCGTAGTCGATCAAGCACCAACCTACGGCTGTTGTGAAGGGAGAATTGCAGTGAATATTTTGGAACCGCGAAATTTCGTTGTCATCGTAAAACGAAGACCACTCGTTTACATACGTGACACCCGCTCACTACGTGAAGCAGAGACGGTAGGATTCTGGCGCAAGAGCATCATCAGTAGTCTCTCTCTCTCTCTCTCTCTCTCTCTCTCTCTCTCTCTCGGACAGACTATCTGGCGCCGCCGTGACGTCACTGGATTCACAACAAGACCCCTCACAAGCCCCTCGAGGCGCCACTCAGGCGGTTTCCATGGCGACGACGGGTGTCAAATTGGAGGAGGGCCGGACTCTTCTCAGCTGATCGACCCGAGGTCCGAACACACAAGCACACACGCGCGCGCGCAAACACACACAAACACACATACAAACACCCTGGACCAGTGATAAGTGATGGAATGTTATGTTTGCTCTTGTTTCTTCTTTCTCTCTCTCTCTCTCTCTCTCTCTCTCTCTCTCTCTCTCTCTCTCTCTCTCTCTCTCTCTCACACACGATCACTTTTTTAAGGAATAGTAGAGCGTGTTTAAAGTTCACTTTATTCAAAATGGTCAATAAACATGTACAGTACGGTACACAGAAAACTCCATGTTCTCTCTCTCTCTCTCTCTCCTCTCTGTAATTTATGCCTTTACAAATATTGTAGTTGCACTTTGTAATGTTGATGGCAATATTTAAATTTATATTTTGAATTGAAATGACTATGATGGTTAAGGAGGGTATTAAAAACTAATACTTAATAGAAATTAATAACACACTTAGAATCGGAAGCATATTTAACATACCGGTACATAAAACGTATACCGGTACATGCTTGTCGGGATCAAGCAATGCTTAACCACCCTAAGGAGGTGTGGCTGACTGCTATACACCTGTCACCAAAATGATTGAATGAAAATCTATCTATCTCTCTAGTTATTTAGCTAGTTCATAACACACTTAGAATCGGAAGCATATTTAACATACATAAAACGTATACATGCTTGTCGAGATCAAACAACGCTTAACCACCCTAAGGAGGTGTGGCTGACCGCTATACACCTGTCACCAAAATGATTGGATGAATATCTATCTCTCTAGTTATTTAGCTAGTCAGCTAGCTATCTATCCATTCATCCATCAACAGCAGAACAAATGTGGCATCGTAATGTCAAAGAATAGTGATTAAAAAAACGCAAAAAATGAAAATTGTGCAGTTTACCATAAAACTACAAAAGAGAATTGAAAAAAATGTACTGCTGTGACAAAAAATAATCCACAAAATGTGCAGTTTTAGGATTCAAACTAAAAAACAAAAACTATGGAAAAATTGCAATGTTAAAAGAAAGAAAGAGAAAGTCTTTCCATAGGATAAAACTACAAAAGAGAATTGAAAAAAATGTACTGCTGTGACAAAAAATAATCCACAAAATGTGCAGTTTCAGGATTCAAACTAAAAAACAAAAACTATGGAAAAACTGCAATGTTAAAAGAAAGAAAGAGAAAGTATTTCCATAGGAAAAAACAGTTCAGAGACTGGATGGATGAAAGACTTTTAGTTTCCAGACTTTGATCAAAAAAAGTGTGAAATAAGTACAGTATTGTTACACCTGAACATGATCCTAAAGGAAATGGCATGTTATGGCATCTGGTCCAACCCAGACTGGCTGATTAATTAGGTGTGCTTTGTCAAGAGAAAATTTGCAGATCCATGCAGGAATTTGGGTCACCCTTGCTTGAAAACTTTTTATATGTCAATATATGATTTTGGTCAAAACATTGAATAAGCTGCAAATAGCTCCACATATGCACTTTCGAGCCTTGACCCAAAGTGTGTCCTTCCCTCATCCTGTCCTGTGATCCAGATGGAACTCACTCTCTCTCTCTCACTCTCTCTCTTTCTCACTCTCTCTCTCGCCCTTTCTCTCTCTCTCTGTTGTAAAATGAGAGGCACTGGGAAAGATGAGTTGGCCAGATTGGACCGGGAGACAAAGGCATCACCATGGTTGGCAAGAGCCAGGATGGTCATGGTAACTCGAAAACTTTTCATGAAGCAATGCCATTCAGTTTGGTTTCCAATATGGAACCTGTCAGACCAGTACCGCATGTTTGGCTTGTGTTAGGGCGGAGATGTCCATTGATTGATCGAGCGTGCAACGGTCAGTGTGTTGCGGTGGTCATTTATATACTCTTGGTGTCGTCAACCAAATAGGGGTTGGGTCGCTTTAGCCTAAACGATCAAACCAAACAATTAAGAAGCGATCGCGATGAGTTTCGAGTGACCTTGCTTTTGTTTCAATCCCACAGTACCGTTGGTCAGCTTCCTCTATTCCAAGGGGAATTGAGACCTGAAATGAGGTTATGAGAACTCCTCTATGGTCACAAGTCTAACGGCTCTGGGCTGTTCTTGACAGCGTTGGCATTCATCCCCTTGAAATAACAACTTCAAGCTGGTCACGGGGGTGAATAGCATCTTGCTTATTGTCGTGGCGACCTCGCATCACCTGCTTCAGTGCGCTAAAATATTGATGGACCAGCCTGGACACCTCTCAGGTTGTGTTGGGGCTAGCGTCTGTGCTAGCGTTACTGCTTTGTGCTGTTGGCTGGAGAGCAAAGTGCTCAGAAAATGGATATCTCAAGATGTAATGTCATGATTGTTATTTCTTCAGTTTGTCACCATGTTCGAATGTTGGTGTACCAGCCTGGACACCTGTCAAGGCATGTTAGCTCGAACATTCATGGTTAATGTTTCTATAGAGTTATGTGCAGTGAAAGGATTCAAAAATATCCAGCTATATTTCAAGACACGTTGTAACTTGGGCTGAACAATTCATCAAATTTAAATTGACGTCACTGTGTAGTAGAATGCAATTTCCAAATCGCAAAGGCTGCAATTTAAGAATGAAACACACGCACACGCATGCGCACACGCATATCAATTTATTGCTAACCGTTGCTTTAAGCAGTGGATCAGTAGGATAAAAGTTGATTTTATTTTCATAACCTGATCAATAGCAACAGTACAGTACACATCATTGCAATGAAGGATGACAAATAGTCTGCTGTCCTTTGTAGAAGCAGAAGTAGCATTTCAATCACATGCCACCTGAGTCACACACCACCCCGCATTGTTATTATCACTAAACACAGTCAACAGTAGTTAGGCTTCAAAATAGAGCATCAATGCATCCTTGCACTTCATCCGTATGGTTAAACAAAACACACATTCCTTTCCTTTTTTTTTTCTTTTTTTATCAATACAAAGTCTCTGTTGCTGCTGATTCTGTTTCCCATGTTGCCATAAAACCACAATGTGTCTCGCTCTTACCCAATCGCCATCTATTTCCATAACATAGAGGGAAGAGAGAGTTCATGTCGGAAGCACAAAAGTTTTAGCAGAAACAGAGCACACTGGCTGAAGCCTCTCTTCGCCTTGTGCCAAATGTGTCGTTCTTATATACAGGTTTGATTGTTCACTACGCCATACAAGTAAGTGTTCTAAAAAGTGAGGAAAGTACAGTACTTCTACAAAAGATTTGAAGGATATATTTTCACCACGAGACTCTAAAATCTAATTGGATCCTTGGAGA